GTCAGTTTATTCGTTTTTTTTTTTCTTAATCGTGTTTATTTTTTTTTTTTTGTCAAGGGCATCCTCTGCACGCAATACGCATTCCTTGATAAAAATTATCGTACTATTTTATATATTTATTATCGGGATAAAAGAAAAATGCAATATTAAATTTTGATAATCTCTATATTTACGAAGTAGAACATGGAAAATAAACAACAGATCTTGTACTTATAGTTTATTCTCGAGACAATGTCTGTTAATTTTCTATGTTCCAAATTTGTAAATATAGAGCGATTACCAAAATTTAATATTGCATTCTTTTATCCCGATAATAAATATATTTAAAAAAAATAAACGAATGCGATTAAGAACCAGGTCACCATGGTCATCCTCTGCGCAATACGCATTCTTTGATAAAAAAAAATATAGGAATATGATTAAGAAAAAAAAACGAATGAACGAACATAAGAATTATTATATAGCTGCGGTCTTTGCTCTAATCATTCCTTACATACTTTTCTCTAGCGTCGTCTTTTAAACAAGTTCCTCTATTTCACCATTTTCTATTTTGAAGTAAATGTACTCTTTATAATTTATTTATTTTATTATCGTACTGTACTTACAGTTTATTCTCAAGACGATCTATTGTTAATTTTCTATGTTCTAAACTTCATAAATATAGAGCGATTACCAAAAATTAATATTGCATTCTTTCATCCCCGATAATAAATATAAAATAGTACGATAATTTTATACAATTCAAATTACAATATATATATGAATAATAACCGTACTTCAACGATTAGAAAATGCTGATTCTTCCTATTTGTGACTATGTTTCGATATACATTATCAGTATTGAAAGTTTATTATTAACGTCGAGAATTCACCATGGGATTAACGTTATGTATAGTGTACTGTGTATATTTTCAGTATTGACAGTGCATGTCGGAACACGGCATGTATAACATTCATAGCAATATCAAAAGATAGAAAAGACAAATAATTTAAACATTAGAAGTTTGATTGTATTGGGTGGATCCATATATTCGTTCGGTTTTTGAAGGCAACCAGAACCGGAGATACTCGGAAAAAATTTTCATTAACAAAAACCGAACGAATATATGGATCCACCTAATATTTCAACTTCTCGTTTTAATTTGTACCAGAAGAACGCAGATTCGTTTTATTTAGAGCATGAGGTTTGAGGAAGAGAAAGGGGTTTCTAATGAAATAAACAAATATTTAAATGAAGTAAAATTTTATTTGTAAGCGCAATATCGAGAACCTTGGCAATCTTTTCTTTTTCTATAGCAAATAATTACAATTTCAGTATAGACAAATAAGGATATTTAATACGTATGCCGTACGTATTTTTAGTACATCAAACAATGGTGGCAAGAGCTGTAAATGAAATCAAATTTTCTACTATTTGTGGTCCAATAAAATTCTACTAAAATTATCATTAGGCACAGCGCGTAAATAGCAATAAAACTGATAATATACGATAATTATAAAGAATAACCAGATGTCATACCAGTTGTAAACAGTACGGTTCCTTTTCCTTTCTTTTTAGTCCTCTTCTTTTTACCAAACGTGTTACTTTCGTTTTTTGCTTCTGAAAATAAGTTTAGATAAATCAAAAAATTTATACTTGTATAATGCTAAATAATTTATTTGGTTCCAATATGCGACTTACCTTCAGAAACGTAAGTTTTCTTTCCATTTTCGTTAATCGAGGTACCTGGTGTACTAGCGAGCATTCCTGATTTAACAGGCGGCCAAGCATTAGTCGACTTATGAGTTTTTGACAATACTTCTTCGTCTCTGTTGAAGCATGCATTTGTCGTACCAGAGTGTGTCTTTGATTTTACAACCGGCCATGCATTGGCGGATTTATTAGACATTTTTGTTGGTATTGTTGATAACCGTTTTGTTATATCCGCGAATGTTCGAGTTTGTTCGCGCGAATGATCCGTTTCTTGTTTTGGAGCAATTTCTTCAAATGCATTTAAAGCTGGTGGACTACTAGCAATACTTGGCATAACTGATTCAGAAGGTGACAGAACGTTCTCGCTACATCAGAATATGATCAAATTATAATTTTTGTATGACAGAATGCAACATCTATAAAACTTAAACAAAATAGCGATAAAATAAAGATAATGATTATTTTTGCTTACTTGGACAATTGTAATTCTGACTGCAATTGAGGAAAATGTTGATAGGATTCAATATCTATGTCGGGCGTTGGATATATGCCAATTTGTCTATTTTCTTCTTCTATTATCTTTTTCTCTATCTTTCTTTCTTCGCGTTCTCTCTGTTCTCTGTATTTCTGTCTCGATTTTAGTTGCTCTAATAAAAAAAATCAATATAAATTAACAATTGAATAGTATTATAAATCTCTAACATAAAAAAAATATAAATGATTACCATGAAAAGCACGAAGGACATCCTCTGATACTAATGGTGATTTTAATTCGATTTCAGCTAATTCAAATGGACAAGTAAGTGGTAAGTGGCAAAGATAACGTAATCTTCGTCTTAATTCTTCCGTGCAAATGCTTGCTTCCTTTTCGAGAAGCTTGCCCGTAATTACAGGTGGACAGTATTCCAAACTGCCATACTGCTTTTCCAGCATTTTCACATTCGCCGCGTGTAGATACAGATGTTGTCCATCCTCCGCTAAAAAAATCCATTAATATAATATTAAAATCACTGAAATATAGCAAGACAAATGATGCAATATTACATAGTGAATCCTAACATTGACAAAAATGAAATGATTTATTATATCAGTTGTGTTTCTGATTCGAAAATGCCTAGTATGACGTAGCATAAAAGATTAAAAATTAAATTTTTTTATAGTTTGCAAAATTACTTACCTTGGTAAAAGTAAGAAAATTTGCTAGGACTTGAAGTAGTCTGGCTATCACTGGAAACACTGTCTGTCGAAGACTGTTTTGCTAAAGACTTGTCATCATCTTTGCATGTATCAATATCTACTTCATATTTTTGCCATGTTTCTTCAGCAATTTCTTTTTCCGTTATATTTTCAGTTAATGGAGCATCTTTAGATTCTGCGATCTGATATACATTTTATATTTTTTTATTATTCTGTTATGTAGAATAATGGGTATATAATTATATGGTTAATATTACCTGCCACAACAGTTTTTCTTTCCTCTTTGATAGTTCACTGAGCGCTTGCTTGATATCAGGAGCCATGGCTGGATTAATCTTCAACTCAAGTTCTAATTCTGAACTCTCACACTCTATGATGTTCACAATCTGAAGACAATTTTCATTCACGCTATTACTCTTGTATGTACATAATAAATGATTTTTAATATACTTTTTTTAACTTACATCATTCACATTTGCGATAAGAAGTTTTGAATATATTTGATTATCAGCATTTTCCGAAACAGACAAAAACGTTGTCGGAGGTCGAACAGCAGATTTCACAGGCGTTGTAAACAAAGAATTCTTTTCACGACGCATCAAACATAGATTGACTGTATCGCCCAAATTAAATAACCTGCGCGTAATCTCAACCACGCTAAAAGATATATATATAAAATAATTAAAATATTTTCATAAACATTTCTTCATGTGATATGTATTTATTATAATTTTATGCAAAATTACCTCTTCAAATCATTTTTGTGAAGATATTCATCACAAATCGGACATTTGTAATTGCCTGTTTCTTGACAATAACGTAAATAACGGAGAATACAAGGCCAGCAATAAACATGACCACAGCGAGTCATTTTGCCTGCGACTGGTGGATGTAAACAAATAGGACATGAGAGATTTTCTGAATTGTGTAATATCTGTAATAAATTAAATCAGATTTAATTTACTCGTAGATCAATATGTATGAGTTTCTTGTAAGAAACTTTATGCAACAATTGATGATTTGTAATGAAAAAACACTTACAATTTGTTCAATCGATTTCCAATCCACAAGAATATCTGGGTTAGTCAAATGCAAGGAGTAATCTCTACTTGCAGTCACAACAAATTGGCAACTAGCAATATACATAAAAATATATAAGAGTATATCATTTTTATAATATGCATTTTATTTATTATATAAATTTAATATAGTTTTATAATAAATTATTTTTATATATTTATTAATAATACCAAATATATAATTTTGAATATTACGTGAATATCTCGATATTCAATTTGTACGATTAAGAAATCAAGTAACCGGATTTCGAGATTCTGTCCGAAAAATGTTAAATGAAATGTAACATAATGCGAGTTCTACATAAAATAATCCTACTAAGCAACCCTGCTGTCCAAAAAACATTTCCACATAAATAAGCTAAAATAGATTTATAAAAAATCTCGTACGCATAGTTTTTATACATTACATGAACTGGCTACTCTATTGACTTTAAGTAATAGATAAAAAAAATGTATGACTTTTGATCCGAATAATATCCGTGAATTTATATGAATAAGATGGGTATCAAGAGAAATAGAAAGCACCTATTTATATTGTATAATTACTACCTAGCTTGTACAAATTGTTCCTTGTTGTATTTATGCCGCTGCACTGGTGGCAGCAATCTATTACTGTTGGAATTATGTCTCCCTACATCCCTGTTTTGTGCATCTCGCATCACATATCGCTCGTAGTGAAAATTCAGCAAATGATTGCCGTTCTTTTTGCTTCTTTGAACCAATACTGAGCCATACTCAGGCATCTTCTCCTCCACTACCTATAGATATGAAAATTATATAAAATATGGTAATAAACTAAAAAAAAAGAGAAGCATAATTCGAATGTAGATTCGACCTTGGAATTCTCCTCTGCACCGCCATGATATTGTCCTTTAGGTCTCTGTCTCTTAATAAGATCTTTTGCTTTCTGTACATTGTACCTTGTCGGCTGTACATCATCAGGGATGTTATTGGCGCCAGCAAGTTCTCTTCTGCGCAAAGTTCCCAGATGGAGCTCATTATTGACATCTGAAAGGATACACATCACAGCAAAATATATGTAAGATACCAAGAGGCACTAATAACAGCTTGTTTATTGTCAAATTAAGGCTCTCTGAGCTAGTGACCTTGAGGATGTACCTTTGTTCTTTCTGACATCAGCAGTAGTCCCCCTCGCAGGGGACAGCATGAATTTTGACTTTATATCCATTTGCAAATCGACTGTAGTCAGTCTGGTAACTCGCCTCGTTGCAGCTGCAGTCTCCTCCGTCTCCTCTCCTCGGAGAAACGATATCTTTGCGCGCACCCTTCATCTTCTTCAATAAGCCATGTTTCGTCAGTGCCAAAGTAGTAAAATGTGTCTCGATGTGACGACGGTCGGCAGTTGATGCGGTGCTGCACAAGGATGACGCGAACAGCGATGAGCGAGACGCTCGTTCTCCAGGGAGCAGTCGGCCTCCCCTTTCGTCGCGGGCGACGATCTCAGGCCCTTAACCTTTAATGACGGTCACGACTCCGTGGTCACGACCCAAATGGCGAACGTAACCGTTCGCGGAAACGGAAGTGCTGGTGTTGTGTACGGTGCCACGACCGCTCGATAACTCACGTGATTCGACCATCATATTCGCTACAACGTCGTTTAAATCCGTCGAAAATTCGAGATTTTCGATTTTATAAGTTATCCTGCCCTCTTCGATCGTAAACGGTTGTATCTGTCGAGATGTTATAATAATCTTGATTTTTGGAGCTGGTTTGACTTCAGTTGAACGCGTTCAAGGTAGAGAGATTACGTTGCTGGAAAAAACTATCGAGCGAACGATAACAAAAAGAGTCAAATGCGTTTATTTTCTTGTCGAACGTCAAGCAATCTTGAAATATATATCGCTTCTGTATGAAGTAATGTTTTATATTTTAATGAGTATTATATAATTATAAAATCGTTAAATATTATTTAATTAATACTTAATTAATTAATATTTTCAACTCCTGTATGTTCCGCAATTCAGAGTGACATTATTATTCGAACGTGTCGATTGTCGATCATAATCATCGAATGGAAAGCATCCTAAGGTGCATACCACTTGATGCAATGCTTATGAAATCATTTTATCTTTATTACTTATCAAATGTTAAACAAGGATAAATAATGCTCGCAAGCATTGTGAGTGTTAAATGGAACGCACTTGATTGCCTAGTTTACATCGTGCACTTGATACACGTACTAACTAGTAATTTTCTATTAAATTATTTTAATTTCAGCGATGTATTCAAAGAATGATGATACTAAATTGGTACAATATATGTATCAAAATGATTAATTAAGTACACATAACATGGGCCAGTTTCACCAACGCCAGTTAGCTTAATCGGCCGTTGACTGACCAATCGCATTTGCTGTTTAGTAGAATCGACCAATTGCGATTGACAGTTAATCACAATTAAACTTGATCGGCGTTGGTGAAACAGCCTTAGAAATCACCAAAATCGCCGAAAGGATCATTCAACAGAAAGTTATTAGTTAGTACCGATATCAAGAGTATGATGTAAACTAGGTCATAAGGTCTATTTTTTACTGCTGCACTTTCTGAACTAGTACACATAGTGCAATAAGTTAAAGTGAAACAAATGTACATTTGCCAGTGTTGAATTAGTTTTCCTAGTAGAAAACGCTGGCAACTGAATTTTATAAATATCGAATAGCAACTGAAGTTTATAAATAATTTGTTGCACCTAAAATTAAACGAGACAAATACATATTCAAGTGTTGAAGAAAGAGAAAACGAAGGCTCTGAATGTAAAAAGTGCAACACGAACAGACTTAAAAAAATCATTGCCTCAATTCAACGTCGAACTTTCCAGTGATCGTCTAGTGTAAAAACCCAACACACCAATCGCTACGAGTAGTCGCGTTCGCCGCAGCCAATCACAACGTAACCGAACAGGACGCTCCCGGTACACACACGTGGTCGATTTACGCATTACTCCTCTTCAAGCAATCGCAGTGGAGGGTGGTGATTGTTGAGATCCGCGTCAGCATTTAGGAGCGTGTTGTAGACCGACGACGTTCAGCAGATCTAGCTTCTTAACCGTGCTCAATTGCACGCCGGTGAAGATCCATTTTCAACGACATCAGGTCGACATTTCCTCGTTCTCGTGTACTCGACATGGCAGATATGCCAGCGAACGTGGGTATCATACGGAAAATGTCTTTCGGCATCAACGGCAAGCTCAACGGCGTCGAGAGCAAGACACCCTTCCTGATAGGTGTCTCCGGCGGTACTGCAAGCGGAAAGGTACTTATATCTTGCGTAGAATTGTTATATGTGAATCACAAGAAAGGAATATATCTTGTACATACACTTAAAAAAAAATTGTCCGGAGATGAAAAGGAGTCTAATGTTTTAAAAAATATTATAGGTAGATATTTAATGAAATAAAATTTCTAGAACATAATTCTTATTTACAATTCCTATTAACATTTCTTATATAAAATTTTAATTAATTTTATATAGTAGATATGACCAGAAGTTTTACGATCTCAAAAAGAGTGTATGTACTCTTAACTGATAATCCTAATTCTATGGAATTAATTTATAATATTTATTAAGAACAACTAATCTTTTGAAAGAAGCTTAATGAATTACTTAATAAATGTTAGATTAATGAATTACACAAGTTATTTTTCAGAAATTCACAACTTTTTTACTTTCTAATTTTTTTTTTATAATTTTGCATATAATTTTATGTCTTTTGGTATTCCATAATATGAACAGATGTTTTAATTACTATTTTTAACTTTCGTAAACTCATGTTTTTTTATAGCAACTGTTTGTAAAAGAAAATACTTCTATAATCTGCAATAGATTTTCTTTATGTAATATATGAATTAATCATAATTTTTGCTTTATTTATTTAATATAAAAATTTATAAGAATAATGAAATGTTATGATTATATATAGTGACAAATTGTATTTTTTTAGTCTACAGTATGCAAGCGTATAATGGAAAAACTAGGGCAAGTTGACATGGATCATCAACAGCGACGGGTAGTCTGTATATCACAAGACAGCTTCTATCGTGACTTAATACCTGCTGAGAAAATGAAAGCTGAAAAGGGACAGTATAATTTTGATCATCCCGATTCCTTTGACGATGATCTAATCTTGCAAACGCTGCAGGATATACTTGCTGGTGTCAAATGTGAGATACCTGCTTATGATTACAGGACAAACAGTTTGTATGTATTACTTTAATATTAAAGTTAAAAATTATCTTTAGATTTATGATTATTAATAATGCAGCGCGCGCGCGCGCGCACGCACACACACACACACACACACACACACACACACACACACACATACACACATACAATTAATAAGAATAAAGTAACTGTAATATAAAATAATTAAATAAGATCCAATGAATTAAAAGATGTTTATATATGAAAATCTTAGGCAAATTGCAAAATTATAAAAAAAAAATTATGAATTTATTTTAGAATGAAAGATCAAGTTACCACAATATATCCCGCGGATGTGGTACTGTTTGAAGGAATACTGGTATTTTATTTTCCCAAAATTCGGGATTTGTTTCACATGAAATTGTTTGTGGATACTGATTCTGATACCAGACTTGCAAGGAGAGGTAATTCCCTACATATAATTTCAGTCTGAGTATCACTTATCATACTGTATTATATTATTATAACATTGTTGATGTCTTCAGTGCCAAGAGATATAAAGGAACGTGGAAGAGATTTGGATTATGTCCTGAATCAATATATGAACTTTGTAAAACCAGCTTTTGAAGAGTTTTGTTTGCCAACAAAAAAGTTTGCGGATGTTATAATACCAAGGGGAGCAGACAACACAGGTAAATATATTATTATATACATAACAATATTTTTATTGCTATTGTAATTATTTGATATCTCTCGCTTAATGTTCATTAGTGGGTTTATTGTTTGTGAATTTAGTGTGTTTGTCAGATATAAACATTTTTTATCTTTTTTTTTCTCAGTTTTTATATATTGCATTTTATCATAATATTTCATTTAGGAAGATCTCATGTTTGATTATGATATTAATCAAAATTTATTTTTTCAAGTTTTTCTTCTGATAAATTTATTCAAAATGATACAAATAAGTAAAATATGCTTTAGTACTATAATTAATGTTATTACTGACTACAGTAAGGTTACAATGAGGATATATGCAAAATATTCTAGAGCTGCAGTTCTCTTTCTTCTTAAGTGTAAACGCTAGAAAATGAAATATATAGTAAAAATGAAAAGAAATCATGATTATTTTACAAGAGTTATTAAAAAATTTATTAACTATTAATAAAGTAATTAATAATTGATTGTGAATTAAAAATAATTAAGAAAAAGATTTTATGATTAAAATTTTAATAGTCAAAATCTAATAGATAACAAAGATTTATTCCTTTATGAATTATGATTATTGATTCTAATTTTATAATTTGAAAGTTTATAAAAATATTTAATATAAAATATTTATTACAAAGTGATATATGTCTTGAATATACTATAAATAGTATAAATATATATTCTAATTTTTAGATTAAGATAAATTATAGTGAACATTCCTGTTAATATTTGATTTTATCAATTAAAATTATTGAAATATAATTATTAATTATTAAAAAATCATCCTCTTTGCACAATCATTTGTAATGTTTAGCAAGGTACTTTCCAATTGCTTAATACATATCTTGACATAAACGTAGCAAATTAATTCACATATTTTCAGCATTGATAAATAATTTAAATCTTTTAATTACATATTCTTTATTGTCACGATAACTTCAAAATCTTAAAAAAAAATTGAATTATTTATTAACACAAAATATATGTGAATTAATTTGCTATATTTATGTCAAGATGTATTAAGCAATTAAAAAACATCCAAGAATTATAGCGAACTTAAATTATAGCGTAATTAAATACATATTCAGTTACAATAATAATGTTTATTATATTTTAACGTAAAGAAAACTTGAAATTTTAAATTACATATATAATTTAATAAGATTAACAAATCAAGATACATGATCATCTAATATGGAGATATCACATTTTTATTTGATACTTATCTATACATATAGGAGACTTATACATTAATTGTACAGTTTGGTATAATTGCTAAAATATCCAATCATTATATGAAATTTGGATGCACATGTCAATTAATTATTTATACATTTAGTAATAATTAATACATCCAAATTTTGTATATATATACACACATATATATATATATATTTGTTTTAATAATACGGGATTATTTACACAGTAAATTTTTATTTTCTTTTTATTTGTATATTTAAATTGCATCCATTCAACTTGTTATATATCTCATGGGTGCTGCCTGGTATGCCGTGGTTGTGGATGTCAGAGCTACACCTACTTGAACTAAGCGAAAGTTTAAAAGAGACAGAATATCTCACGGGAAACCTATATGGTCTGGTTGTTGTATGTTTGCAGTGGCAATAGATCTAATAGTGCACCACATCTGGGATATTATGCGTTTGAAAAACGCCGAAAACTCAGCCGGGCAGCATCCATTCTTCCACCAGCGTAGGCGTACTTCGGCCTCATCCGACACGCTCAGCAGATGACTTAAGCATGATAAGCTCACTCTGTCAAGCACTGCATTTTTTTCTAAATCACGCTCTTATGTATGACTGAATTCTATGAGACATTTTCCAATCCCTTTTTCTAATAATAAACGGAAAAGTAATGTCCGTTTTTGAATGCAGGATTATTCATCTTTATATCATCAATATATCAATTGGCAGTAACTTAAAAGAGATTATATATATATATAATAAGACGTATACAACATAAATAGTATGTTGATTAAATAAAAGAAAAAAACAATTAAATATGATAAATACTTTTGCTATGATATTTGTCTAATTAGAGTAAAACAATTTCTGTCGAGATCTGTCAATAATCGTATAAAGTATTAAACTTTTATATGAGACTTGATATTTACTAATGTCTAGAATTTTTATTGTGATACACAAACATTAGATTGTGATCAATTACATACATGTCTTTAACAATTTCAATTTTATATGATGAAAACGGACATTGTTTATTCGACATTATGTATTATGTTTCTTTGACGGATTATATCTTACACTTACATGGCGGAGAAATGGTGCTTTTTATGTACATTTTATTCTGATAAATACATTAGCATTAAGAATTACGATTTTAAATCATCGAAAAATGCATGAAATTGTGTAAATCCACTAAAAAAATAAGTGAGTTGAAAGGGGTTGGCAACAATACAGTCAACACAATTGAATTTTTAATTTTTCTCTAAATTTTATTTTAATATTTAAAAATTTTTTTGTTTAATTTCTATATTTTATATCAGTATAACTAACATCGTCTTTTTATATTTCTCATGTCTACTTACTAAAGAAGTATATAATGTTTCTACATTTTTTTATATGAAAACTGTAGTAATGTCTAATAACGTACTTAAACTATGTTTTGAATCATTTAGACTGAGAGGATAAGAATGATTGTTTTTAATTTATATTTTTTTTTGTTTAACATTATTTATTTCTCAATTTTAAAAGAAATAAAAATTTTAACTAATAGATAATTTAAAAATTTTTGAAATTTTTCATGATTTCGAAACGTAAGGAATTCAATTTTATTAAATGAATCTGTATGAAATGTTGTTTTTATTCGGCTATCCTTTACCATTTATAACTTAATATCATATCACTTAACTATCTAGGCGACTTAATTTTCTGGACAATGTCTCAAGTATTACATAAATGATAAAAGGAACTTAAGAATATGTATGAGTGTGCGATATTGTATCTGTGATATGTGTGTAAATTTGTATGTTGTGTACAAATGTATTTTAAATACCGCATAAATTTTAACAGGGAATGGAAGAGTTATTTTACCATTATTTTTACGGTTACTTTTTATAATAACAATTTTTAATAATGATGTTGAAATTTTTTTTATGACTAATGATTAAACAGTGAGATTACGCTGAGGTTAGGAAAGTCACTTTGAAAAGTAAATTGTCATCATGTGTTACTTATTGATAAAAAAGTAATAAATAATGATTCATTACTAATGAGTAATGCCATAAAGTTATTCCGTTACATTAAAAAGTAACGAGTTACAAATTATAAGTTATTAATTCTTTCAACAACAAATGACTTTTTCGACTCATTATAAGCAATTATGACTGTTCCAACTCTAGTGTTACATTAGGCCTGTTCTTTTTAGCTGAACTTTTGCATCATCTTTTTTCCTTTTCTTTCTAGGAAGAAAGATGAACTAGCGCGAAAGTTCAGCCAAAAAAAAGAACAGGTCTATTATCATAATAAAAAATTTGCAATATCACCAAATAGTGATTATGAGGTAACTAAATAACTAAGTAACGGCAATTACAGTAACTAGTTACTTCCATTTCCTGCATTTTAGACATCTCTATAAGACCATTCAATTTTTAATAACTTATATATTTTGCATTTGCATAATACTTTAGAAATGTAATCATACGCAAGTATTTCCTAGCATAATTAGTTAAGATGCAATTTATCTAGTTTATAGACTTATCTTGAAATATTTATCTCTATTGCATTCTACAATATTAATTATTGTATGTCATTACATACAAGCATACACGATATGTTCAGTTAGTTCCTTTCTATACAACAAGAATCTCGGAAGTTTTGTTTAATATAATGTAACTCTTAATAGGATTATTCTATAAGATCATATATACATCATTGTACCTCTTTCTTATTTTTGCCAGGAGTAAGTTGTCAGTATAGAAATAATAATTAAATTTGAATTAAATTTCTGTTAAAATCTTTTGCTTCGCTAACTTCTTAATTCATTAAAGTCTGTTAATTTGTTAATATATACAGCTTAAATTTTAATAAGTTTTATTGAGAAGCTTCGATTTTGAGATTACTAATCCGCATCAATGAATACCTGTAGTCGAAAAAGAATACGAAAGAGAAAGAAAGAGAGCACCAGTTCTGGGACACTTGCATATTGTTAATAAAAAAAAGAATAAAAAGATTTCTTGTATTTACAAAACAGTATAAACACAAGTATGTTATGCATAATAAAACTATACGTAATTCTAATGCAATCACAGTTATTATTTGAAATAGTAACAATTCTTCAAATATCCACAATTTGATATTGTTCCAAAATGTATAATGATATATTGCAAATAAAACAATTCATCTTATCCCTAACGTAATTGCGCATACATTCGCGATTATGTACTGATATTTCGTGATCTGTTGCAGTGGCGATAGATCTGATAGTGCAGCACATAAGAGACTTCTTAAGCAACCGAGGTAGACAAATGGCAGGACCTGAAAGTCCAATAAGCAGGGTAGAGGGATTATTCAAGAGGCCGCATTAATTTTTGGGACTTTAACATGCTTTAGTTAGAGTGATCCGTCAAGTCATGTTTTATTTCAATACTCGGATATATTTTTTATATAATTTTAATTCTATAAAGCAGAAAGGAAAATCTTTTTAGATCAATGTTTTATATCATTAATGATATTTTTAGCGTTTGCATTTTGCAGTAATATTTGAGTAAAAAAATATATATATATATTATTGAATATATTATAAAACTAAAAAAACTCTATACTTGGATATCTATATAGAATATACAGGGTGTGATCAAGATATGTAGCAGAGCTACAAAAGTAAGATACATGCTGTAGAATAAAGATGTTTATATGCCTAACAAGATCATCTTTCTTATAGCATTATTACTTTGCTATACCTTCAAATCACATCCTGCATATGCAAGTCGTAAAAGGCACTAATATCAAAGAGCATACATTATATTATGTGTGGTACAATTGAAACTACTAATTTGTAGAATAAATTAGATATTGTTAAAATATAGCGATATTTATAAGTAATTACGAGGCTTGTATAATACAAAAATAGAAATTTTCCTTGTTGACATTTTTGTGATCATTTAATATTTTATATTTAACCATTTATTCTTCTATACATATAGATTATACATTTAGACGTAGAAAAGAAAATAAAGTTTAATATACATTATATTTATAGACATAGAAAAGAAAATTTAATAATTATGACGTTATATTAGAAATGCTTACATGTAACGTTTTTTATATAGAATTATTGATAATAGAGTTCTAAGTTCATGCCGTCATGTATTTCATCTGAGGCAGTATATTAAGGAAAAGATTCTTAAGAAATACAAGATATTTGACACAGTATTTTGACTCAGTTTTTCACAGTAAAGGATACAGTCCTGCAACTTTATATGATCCTTGAAAATGGTATACCATTTCTTTAATACGATTTTTTCCCAGTGTGTTCCAGTTTGGGCGGCTATCAATTTTTTCAGATCTCCTATAGTGTCGTCTGGGTTGCATTTCACTCTAACCTTTTTACCGAGACGATCGTTGCACGTTATTTCTAACATTTTTTTAGAATAATTTTCCTAATAATGTTACAATATTATTTCAACATTTATTCATTTTTAATCGGTTAATTTCTGAATATCCAGAAATTGGTTACATTTATTAAAAATTTTTTAATATAAGATTCAAAAAAAAAAGCACACTTACTGATAAAGTTTTCGCGATCTTTCGCGAAAGAGCAGGTAAAAAGAATAATTTTAACCTTTCTTCTTGAAAATTAAAGTAATCTTAACCTTTTTTCTTGAAAATCAGAGCAAACGATTTGTTTTTTACGTTTTCGAGGTTAGGGGAAACACTAACAAATCGGACAATAATTGAAAAAAAAATGCTCAATCGATATAGAATGTTGATGATTTTATCTGCGGTCGGTAAAGATGGTTCAAAATCACTTAATTATACAAGAATTCAAAGTACATCGAGTCCGCCATATTGAGTTCCATCAAAAAAGCTAGGTACATTGTGCACTATACGAGGAGACATCTCTCCTCGACAATGACATGTTGCTATGTTATTGCGAAGAAGATAGAGCGTTCGCGCTTTTCGACAAGGCTACGACAAAGATTACTAAACAGCGAGACATCCGTATGAGAGTGTGTACCACCAGGCCCGATGGCGAAACCAGAGCGGCTTCGCTTTACAATTCTGGATGATTTGATACTTTTACGAGAAGTCTCGAGACAGAACCCATATGAGGAGAGCGACAGGTGGAAAACTGTTGCCGAGCGAGTCGTGAACGCGACGCAGAAGAACTTTAGTTTACGTTGCGTCAAGGAGCACGTCGATCACCTGCTGAAAATCTGGACTAGAGAAGGCCGCGCACATTTGAAGAAGTGAGTAAGCACATGTCGCTTTATTTTAATTAATTACATAAGACGCATTGATAATTGATATATCCTCTTAGATTGTTTTCCTTTTAGGAAACACAGAAGACACAAATGTCATTCTGTCTTTGTTATTTATTGAATACATGGAATGAAATAAAGAAGAATAGAACAATGTTTGTGTCAAGTGTGTCTTCCAAAAAAGGAAAGAAACCTTAGATGCGTTATTAAGATAATATTGAAAGCTTCTCATTTAGCGACACATCTGTTTTCTGTTCCTGCACTAGAACTTTCTTTCTCGCTTTCGATAAATATCAAACGCTACATAGCATATTGCTACAAAACATATACCTATTTCACTTTAAGTTCCAAAAGTGTACACTGGTTCAACCACAAAAAACAGACCTAAGAAAAATAGAGCTTGTATTATTACATGAAAGCGTTTATTGTTTTTTGTTTTGTTGAAACATGAACATAACTTCATGGTTATAAAGAGATTTATTGAATGTTTTTATTATACCTTCGCTAATCTTTAGATCAGGGACTGAGGAACAGTACAATGAAAAAGAGGGACTGCTACAGCAAATACAAGACTTGCAAAAAGAATTCAGGCGTTCTGGTAAAGGTTCTAATGCACAGAAATCAAGACTACAGAGGGATGTGACTTTAGAGAACATTTCTGATACCCTAGAAGTGATAATAGAAGAACCAACTGTACCAATGGCAACGTCTATACCTTCATTCACGTCTTCAACATTCTTGCCAATTGCTTTACCATCGCCAACTTCATCATCTTCATCCTCGTCGTCGACTCCACTAACTTCAGGGAGCCCATTGCAGTCGCCAACCATGTCACCATCGAGAACAGGTGGCCCAATAAGAAACAAAATACGCCACGATGCGTTGAAGAAATCGACGTTGCATTTTTTGCAAGAAAGACATAAAAAGGAAGTAGAATTTCAAGAGAAACAGTTCCACTTGGAGGAGAGGAGAATCCAACTCGAGGAAGAAAAATTTAAGATGGAAAAAAAAGAACGTGAAGCAAGACTTGAATTGGAAATCGAAGAAAGGAGACAAAGGATCGCTGTATCCAAACAGAAACAAGAGATTCTCGAAATATTGTTACAATTAATACATAAACCTTGATTATTTTTGTAGCTTTTTTTGTTTTATTGATTTATAAATAAAATTATTGTTAAAAAAATATGTATTTTTGCACAAAGATACTTATTTAAACATACATAAAAGAAAAGATTGAAAAGTGTAAAGAGATGTTGATTACGCAAAACATTTATTTCAAATAGTATTACTAGAGTTGGAACTTTTTTAAAAAATAATTCATTACCGTTATTCATTATAAAAAGTTATTCATTAACTATTGGGAAAAGAATTTTGTCATTATTTCTCAAAAAATACCAAGTTGCTAAAATTTCTAATGTTTTGATATTTTTTTAGAGTAACATCCAATTAATTATATTATTAATTCACAACATGATTAAATGTAATACTCCATTCTTTTTAAATTTGCTTATACGTACACGTTTCATACATATTTGTTATACATGTACAAAATAATGATAATAATTATTATACTGATTATCGTTATTTAAAAAATGAACTGGATATATCGTTACCGTTACAAATGAAAAATATAGCGTCAATTTATTAACAGTTTAATTTTAAACATTATATTACTATAAGTATAATTAAATCTCGTTTTTATTATGAAAATGAAAATAATTAATACACAATATATTAATATTAACGTTTTCTTTAAATAACAAATTTAATCGTATTATTTAAAATTTTAAGATATATATTGTTCTATATTTATCATATAAACGTACTTAAATATTAGATTGTAATTTTTCGAACTTGTGTTCAGAAATCCTCGATAGTATAGTGGTTAGTATCCCCGCCTGTCACGCGGGAGACCGGGGTTCGATTCCCCGTCGGGGAGATTTTCTTTAATTTTTTTTTTCCATTATTCTTTACAATATATATTTTATTACTTTATTTACTATCAATTGCATTATTAGTAAATATTGTAATCTCAATAATAAAAATAATATATTATCTCAATATAGAGAGCAGTTTATATGCTGTCTAAGGCTCATTAGTTATATACTGTGGCTCCTCTGGAATAATCTAGGGTTCTAATCAAGCTGTGTTCCGATATATACCAGTAACATCGAAAGAAACAGGCGGTACACAATTCCCTAGTTACCTAGTTAGTTACTATTAGTTATTGTACCACGCTCCATGTAATTGCACCCTCACTCATCTTTCTTCTTTTCACCATAATGGTGGCCATAGCGACCGTTAAATAAACGTGTTAGCACGTGTTACGAGATTTGGAGTTATTAGATCATAAAAATGTTTGCAAAATTGTTGCGTTATGTTAAACATAACTATGCAAAAAAATAGTCAACGTTACTGGTTAAATAAGCACTACATAGAGTACATAGTGCCTATCGAGCGCTTGCTATCCTATGGCTCTTGTTAACTGTACCGTGATGTCAAATTGCTGTTTTCAACATAGTAAGTCTGAGGTAGTAATTCTATTGACTAGAATTAACTAAGAATACTATTTGGCTTTGTTTTTATATTCATTGCTACTGCTGATCTACAGGTGATATACTATAGACTTTTAGTATTAGCAATGAATATGGCAACACAAGCAATTCCATTGTTATATACAAGTATTTACTATTTAAGTTTTTAAACTATATTAATCAATAATTAAATTATTATTTTCAGGTTACAAGAACCTATTGCTTAAGTATCCCTGCCTCAATCTTCTTATAAAGAAATATCACAGACAGTTCTTAATTTATATCACAAATTGGAATTGGCAAAGTACATTCGGCAGATTGGCTAGTACTCGAGGTGTATAGCTGCTATTGCACACTTCTGAATGGCCATTTGAACCATTATCTATTGGATCAATTATAATCTGAAATGCTGGGCTGGAGCAGTTATTTTTGTGATCCAGGATTCCAAATTGCATTTTCTTACATATAAATTATTCTTATTGAAAATCTTTTTGATTAATAAGTTTATTTCCTAACTAAATTATTTATATGTTGTTTTTTTTGTGTAGACAATGGTCAATATCCATCAGTCAGAAGATAGTCTTAAGTAATGTCTTCTGACTGACTATAAATATTGGCCATTGTCTACAAAAAAAAAACATACAAGTAATTTAGTTAGGAAATAAACTTATTAATCAATAAGATTTTCAATAAAAATAATTTATATGTAAGAAGACGCAAATTGGAATCTTGGAACACAAAAATGACTACTCCAGTGTAGCATTTCAGATCACAATCGATCCAATAGATAATGGTCAAATGGTCATTCAGAATTGTGCAATAGTAGCTATACATCTCAAGTACTAGCCAATCTGCTGAATGTACTTTACCAATTCCAATTTGTAATATAAATTAAGAATTGTCTGTGATATTTCTTTATAAGAAGATTGAGGCAGGGACATACTTTGTAATGTCTTATAATGGTCTTTGGTTATAGCCAGTTCGACATTTTAAGACATTACTTAAGACTATCCTGTAAGATTCGATTATGAATACCACCCAAGTCTGTTTTTTTTTTAATTTAGTGAAATACGAGGCTACTATGCTGGAAACAGTTTTTATATTATTTTGTATCTAAGCCTATATATACTATTAAATAAAGATTTTATAATAATTAAATGCTGACCTATCTTATCAGATTAGGGATAGCAAGCTCTTTCTTCACCAATATCAGATTATCAGATCCTCTAGAGGATTCGAAATGTTCATCTGTATTCCATTTTTATATAGGAATCATATCGAAAACAAGTGCTTTCGGGAATTGAAGAATTATTCACATTACTAATTTGATTTCCGAATTCGATGAGGACAAATTTGATAATAAATTCTATTAAAAGGCGAAAAATTAAAGTTATGCAATTTGCTAAAATTTTAATAAAAATATCATAAATCTTAACATAGGCATAGTATAACTTCGACAATTAATTTAAATAATCGCTTAAATATAAAGTGATAGACATCACGTGGATGATAATTGAATTAAAGTTACACTTGCGAGCGCTATACTTACGTATCAAGATCACAGCATACACATACATAGGATACGCGATATCATTTCATCCTTCTTGCCATCAAACATTAAATAAGATGATATGACGCGACTGCGAAATTTTATGGAAATCGTGGATGAAATCATTGTTTGCGTTCGAGCCGGACAAAGCAATTAGCCTGCTCGCCAAGCGATTGAATGTGATCTATAAGTAATAACCAATCATATTCATTTATTTGAAGAGCAACCTAGCCGCTTTGCCGATTTGAAGCGCTTATTAGGTGTATCTAGGGAATCGATTCTGTATCTTGGGATCGATTCTGTATCTTAAAATCGATTCTGTATCCTGAATGAGGTAAAAATTATAAAAGTTAACGAATTTACTAGAATACTGATTATTTCATTGGTCAACACTTAATAAATTCGCTCACTTTTGTAATTTTCACCTCATTTGAAGATACAGAATCGATTCCAAGATACAGGGAATTGATTCTTAAAATGAGGTAAAAATTACAAAAGTGAGCAAATTTACTAGATATATAGAATATAAATACTAATAATTTCATTAATCAACACCTAGTAAATTTGCTCATTTTGTAATTTTTACCTTGTTTGAAGAATCGACTCTTATAAGCACGATCGCTCATTGAGCACTCAGTGGCTTTTGTATATACATACATACATACATACACACATATAAGCATTTC